TCGTGCCTTCAAGTAGAACTTCTTTTTAAACACATGCGCACTTAGTTTCACCAACTAGCACCAACTAGTGGCGTGGCGAGAGCATTACACGTTTTCGATGTGTACCGTTGCTGTGTAAACACAGATCGTCATTAGAACGTTTTCAAGTAAATGATCCAACAAAAACAGAACGAAAATTCAGTTTTTGTTGGATCATTGTCGTGTAAACGCCCCCTTAATTAATCCATCTGCACTGTCACTGGTGAATAAAAAAAATATTTAAAAATAAACAAAACTGTGCTGAGAAAGGCCACTAAATGGGAGGATTTACTGGTATTTGCTGGTATCTGATTGGTAACAGACTGAACTCCCTGCAATCAAAACAACTTTCAGATCTTAATTCAGTCCATTCCTGTTGATCTAGTTTATTATTCAATAACAAGACAATCTGTGGCTCCGCAGGAATCCCTCATCCAGAGCAAGATGTGGCGACAGTGGAGAGGAAAAACTTCCCTTAAACGAGAAGAAACCTCCAGCAGAACCAGAACCGGAAAATATGTTCTGTATTTAAAAAAGTAATGTGGATTAAAAGGGAGTTTGACTGAAAACTGATATTTTCTTAGATCAAACTAATCCAACTGAACATATCCTGACTTTTAGTGTGGAAGGGGTCAGATGGACGAACCGAGCTTGGGATTATAACTTCAGTCTTTGACTTTTTTTGGTAGAAATACAATAAAATCTCATATTTTCAACACATTTTTGTGCTTAACAAGGACAAAAACCAGACTTTAAATCAAAAAGATTTCCAAGGATGATGACTAGAGGGAAAGGACACAAAGATAAATCAAGATATTAGATTTGGGCTGTCGGAGCTAAAAGCAGAAACACTGGACGGACTTTGTGACAATCATTTAAGTAAGTGAGTGAAATAAACTCGTAATTAAAAGTGGAGACCAATAAAAATCATGAAGAAAGGAAAAGGCCATTAGCTAAACGGAAAGGTCAAAGAGAGGAAAACGGCCCAGAAGGTCAATGAATGAGGAAGGATAAATTAGAGCAAAGACCAGAAGAGAGGGGAAGAAAGAAAGAACCAGATTGGAAACTAAAAGGTTGCAGCAATAAATGCAAAGAAAAGAACCTTTAATACTCGTGTTGCATTTTACAAACAAATCAGGTACATGCGCCCGTTCCAAAGCCTGATCGATACCATTCGCTCCGTAAAGTTGCACATCTTCTTGCTCATTTGCTCCATTGTCTGGCTCATACATGTAAGACACGGCCAGAATTAGCACGGCTGTGAACGCGTGTTTTTGTTAGACTTTGATAGAATGAGTGACGGCTGTTTTTATTCCTGCCTCGCCTGAAAATAGAAATCCATTTCAGCTTTGGGTGTATGACAGAAAATTGGAGAAAATCGCCCTGAAAACACAATTGGTTTTGGCGGTGGCGGTGTTCCCGAGCAGCAGAGACGAGTGGAGGAGTCGCACACATCGTTTGTGCAAACACGTCGCCTTAGCCACCCTGAAACTCGGAGCTCTCGCACTCGGCTGCAGCGACTTGGAGTCTGAAAACAAGACGAGGACTCTAAAAGCTGCCAGCCTCTTCCTCTCTTCCTTTCTGTCTCTTTTTAATCCTTTTAATTTACCAATCAGAAGTGTGAATCCAAGTGATGAATCCAGCCATCTGTTGTCATCGTTCAGTTTGGTTGTCTGGGTGAAGGATATCTCTGTCTAACAAGATGTATTTTCCTCGTTGCGTCTCGTTTGTGTGTCTCTCTACATGTGCGTACTCCCATAGGAGTGTATATACACCCAGGCTGTATATACAACACATACACCTCATATGTGCCACCCTTAACTTTAACAAGCTCATGTGTTGGAGACATCCTGTCTGTGGAAAGTTCTGCTTGTCAGAGATGAAGATGTTCACCGAGAGCGGGATGCTGACGTTTTATCGCCCCTTCGGCATCAATCAGCTGTTGGCATGGAGTCGTTAATTATGCTGAGAGAGAGTAGAGCTGTTCCTGCTTTCATTTACACTACGATAAAAGGTTGAAGCAACTTTGTTGTGGTCGAATTTGGAGAACATTTGGTCTCAGTAACGGAGCTGGCACATCCACAGTGTGTTTCCAGGCAGTTCCAGAAACATCGGACAGTGAAGGGAACAGCTGTAGATCCACTGGACAGTTTCTTGGATGTTCGGCTTTGTAATGCTGATGAGATAAAATCCCAACGTTCAAGCCAGAGGCAGGTAGACGAAGGAGGCGTCTACTGGGCAGAGCCACACCTGATTGGACCAACAAAATGAAGCACAAAACTACTGGACGACCAAGAGTCTGATTGGTCCAAAATCAGAAGTAGTCGTTTGGACGATTCATGTCATCGCAGGCGTTTCTCAGCAGCCTCACCTGATTGGACATGTGTCAATGTTTTCTTTTTATATATTTGTCTAGCTGATTTATCTGACTCATTGTTACAACTTATTAAGCACTGAGATAAAATAACAACCGGCAAATTCTGCGACGTTGGCGGCTTCAAAAACATTTCAAAATAAGAGCACCAACATAAATCACCGCTTTAATAGAGATTTTTCAGAGATGATTATAATTAGGGAGAACTAAATATTGATATTTATTACATCACTAAACAAAGTTAAGATTGGTTACTGGAATTATGTAAAACTGATAAACAGTTAAAAACAATTAAATAAATAAAAAATAACATTATTTACAAAATGATGTTGCTTAAAGTGACTTTGGGACAAAGATGTGCCAGCTCCATTATCTACATCCACACCTGTACAGAGTATGCTTTAGGAACGTTTCCTGATTTTCGCTTGATCTCCTTAAAGCAAGATCCAAAACTAAAACTGGCCAAGAAGAAGTTATTTTGTAATAACATATTTTTAAGTATTAGACTTTTTAATGCCTTACTGACTGTCATTTATAATTATAAATCAGATCTATTATTTCTTTAGACTTTAAAGAAGCTTCAGTACCACCTAGTGGCTGATTTGTAGATTGCAACAAAAAGCACCAGCACCATCTGGGCTACCGTAGAACAACATAAACATTAAACTAAAATCTTACAGTCCTCTTTACTAGCTCACCTTAAATTATGTTCATCATCTCGAAAACATTGTAAAACAGATTACTTGGATAGAAATAAAAAAACTAAGGAAGCTGAAATGTTTTAGCACCATCTAGTGGTGGAATTGAAAATTGCATCCCCAACGAAAGAACCAGTAAATAACTTTTAGATATTTAGGGAATTGAGCCCTCATGAATTTCAAACAATCTAGATGTAAATAGTTTTTATTGAAAGTTGGTGTAAATAATCAAGTGCTGGCCAGAAATGTTGATGGTTGTGAACGTTACTCAGACGACTACAACTATGAAGAGTAAATCTTAAAATTATCTCAAAAATCTGATTAATCTGCCTGGAGCTTGATGTGTTTCCGTGTGCCGTGTATTTTAATTGGTTTTAGCTGCAAATATTGGAGCAAAATGACCTCCAGGAGTTGAATTTTTAAAGTGATATAATAGACTACAGAGCTGCAGAACTGTTTTAGAAAAGGTTAGTTTCCTCTCTGAGTTTCTGAGGCCCCTCCGCAGGGTTTTAATCGAGTGCTGTTGAAAGAGATAAACATAAGTTGAACTAAATCACTCTGATTATTTCTGCCTCCAGAGCAGCTCTGCCTGGGAGAAACACACCAGGACTAAACACTACAGCAGCTGCTTTTACTGATTCAGGCCCATTTGGGACTTATTAGTGAATTCAGCTGCTGCAGTGTTTACCTTCACACTCTGAAGCAAAGATTTTGTAGTTTGTTTGAAGAGGAAGCAGAAAGCAGCTTGTTTCCAGGTGTATTTGTAGAGGGAATACGCGCTCTCCGGTGGTCACCTCTGTCCCGGTCCGGCCCAGCGGTCCCCCAGCTTTGACACCACCCTCTCTGGCTCCTCTCTCCAGGTATGAGCGCTCTGCAGTTGCAGAACCTGGCCACTTTAGCAGCGGCGGCGGCGGCGGCCCAAAACTCAGCCAGCCCCTCCACCGCAAACCCCCTGTCCTCCAGCGCCGCCTCCCTGGGAGCGTTGGCCAGCCCAGGTAACGCCGCAGCCGCTCGGCTCGGGCGGGCCGCCCAACGCCGGCCTCCGCTTTCCGCTGTTACCATTTGTCACTTCACGACCCTGGCACGCCGGCCAAACCATCAGCTCCACCCATCGCCATCGCTCCGGTCTTCATCCGTGGTGTGTGTCCACTTCACCCTGACACGGGCGCCGTGTTGATGTCATTGGCCTCCTTGCGTCCTGTCTTCCAGCATCCTGTGGCGTGTCGTCACCCCATCATACGGGCGTTGCAGATGTGTGTGCATGAGCGTTTGCCTAAATGTCTGTCAGGTTCAGGTGTTTCCACCTCCATGTTGTGTTTCCAGGTGTCTCTCAGGCTGTTGTTCGGGGTGCGTGTTGATAACGTCCGCCTCGTAGATGTGGGTTTGAACGCACCAGGTTGTCTCGGGTTAAACACCACCATCTTCAGATTTTCTTCCTCCTCCGTCTCTCCTTGTTGCCCTCATCTTCTGCTCCTGCCCTCTTTTTGACAAGCTCCCTGTTTCTGCTCCATCACCCCACCCTCTCATGTCGGCTCGGCCTCGCTCCAGCAGCACCCTCTCAGCAGAGCATGAATATGAAAAACCAGCCTCCTCCTCTTCCTCCCTCAGCCGCCACTCTTCCTCCTCCTCAATGCTCACGCTGCTCCAAATGCCCGTTCTTGTCTCGTCTCTCCTCCTCCTCGTCTCACTCCTTCTCTCCATACTTTTCGCCTCTTTCTCTCTCTGGTGCCAAATGTCACTCCAACCTTGAATATTACACACTCAGGTTGAGGTACTTGCTGTGAATGAGTGCTGCTATACTGCATGTGTCAATGAAACTGAAACGTCACTCTAGTTTGATAAATATAGACCGTTCTGCATGGAGACAGGCCAGCGTCTTTGTTTTGCAACGTGTGCTGACATAATGCTCCCTCTGCCACACCATCTCCTTATACATTCAGCGGCAATCCTGCTTTGTTGGCAACGCTTTGATGAGATGAAGGGTAAATGAATAGATTCAATCTCTGTTTTGTTTTGTCTGGAAAGGAAGGAGGTCGCGAGCTTTGTGCACCACGTTTCCCTCCATCTCACCCTCCACCGTTGACATATCAGTGTCTCCTCATGTCTTTCTCCTGTGCTGACTTCATTTGTCTTGGTGATTCTTTTTCTTTTCGGATTTTCCAACTTATTTGAATCCAGATATGTGTGAGGAAACATCATGTAAATTATTAAGGAACGAAACGATGAAAAGTGTCTGTGTGGACCATGTGTTCCTGCCAGTTTGCAGATTCAATAGCAGGAAAATGAAAGTACACCCCTGCTTTCTACTAGGTCAAAAATTATTTGAATCTAATCGCAACTAAGTAAATCCCAATTAATTCACGCCACGCCAGGAAGGAAAGACATCAGCAACAGTTGCAGCCCTTCAATATAGAAACTCCAACGATCTCCAGAGAGGAAAGTTATTTGTACTCATTGTCATTCGTCAACCAGGAATTGGGTCGCAGGTTCAGAGGTTTCTGACACCCAAACGTACCCCTTCTCAGTCACCACATCCAACTCCAGTCCAGCCAAAAGACTTGGTCCCTCCTGGACTTCTGCCTGCAGGAACATGCCTGAAATTCATCAGGGGCATCAGGACAAAATGCCACCTCATCTGACTCCTTTCGATGAGGAGAAGCAGCGACTCTTCTCCAAACTCCTCACCCAATCAACGTCCTGTGGAGGTCATTCATTTCGGACTCTTGTATCCAGGATCTCGTTCTTTTGGTTATGACCCAAATTTTGTGACCATAGTTGAGGATAGGAATGTAGTCCAACCAATAAATTGGATCTTGCATTACTCCTGATCTCCTGAATGTTGGACTGCGGCAGACCTGCCCTTTATCTCGGGTCCTGTTCACAACTTAGATGGACAGGATTTCTAGACGCAGCCAGAGGAGGTCTGGTTTGGGGATCAGCAGATTTTGTCTCTGCTTTATGTGGATGATATGGTTCTACTGACTTCCTTTGGCCAAGATGAACAGCTTGCACTGGGGGCAGTTCGCAGCTGAGATGGAGATCAGCTACTCAAAGACCGGGACAGAACAGGGTGGCCTACCCTTTCTAGGTTGGAGGGAAGTTCCTCCTTCAAGTGGTGAAGATCAAATTTCTTAGGAAGATTATTCCTGAAATGCCAGTCATCCAAAGCATTGATGGCCCAGCAGATTCAACCCAAAGTCAGAGAAATGATCGCCATGACGATGAACCAGTACGGCTGTTTCAAAGGATTGAAGGACAAAGCTTCTTTTGTCTAAAAACAAGATGGCAGCAGGTTAGCAAAGCTGCGTCTGGATGAAGGACAAGATGAGGCCAAAGAGATGTTGGCAAAAACAAGAACTATGAAGCATGGTGGTGGAGGCATGATGGTTTGGGCTCATCCAGTTATTGGATGAACCATGAACCTCTCTACAAAACAAAGTATTTCAGAGTCAAATGTGAGTCCATCTGTCTGGGTTCTGAACAGAACAACAATCCTGAACACATCAGGAGATCGTCTGCGTAAAACGTTACAACAGGAAAGGGGTGTACTTTCTTTTTACAATGGTTGTATGTCTGCTTTATAGAAAGGAGTTTTTATCTTTGTCTAATTCTTCAAATTAGGTTCAAAAGTTGCAGTTCATTCTAAAAAAAAATGTTACCAAAGGTGTTACTTGTAGCATTTTGTCCATGTTAACTGATCTGCATTATTAGATTGTTTTTAGAACCATGTCAGAACCTAGAGCCTTGGTTCCTGAATGATTCTGCTTCCGATCCACAAGGTAACAACCGCAGCGACTTGTTCAGACGATGCTAATAGTCCAGCAAAACGCTTTAACTATTGCCTCATCTCTCAAATTTAAGACCTTTTGAGACCAGTACCATGACAACATTTAAAGAAAGCTGCATGTTTTCTGACGCTCTCTACAGTACCAGGCGTTTTGCACAGAATGCTCCTGGCTTCATATGGGTTTGCAACAGAAGTGAATCAATGGCGAAGATGAACGTCATTCCATCAACTGCCGATAAATTTCCACTTACCCATGACTGAGCCAAAAAGCAGCTAGCTAGCTAGCTAGCTAGCTATATTAGCCTCTAGTTACCGTTAGCCTCAGCCGAGTCACAGAATGCAATGATGATGTCTGCATGTGACTCAGAAAAATCCTGCAAGAACAAAACCACATAGAAATATAAGACTTTATAACCTTAATTTTAGATACACTCATTTAAGACTTTTTAAGGATTTGTGGACGATTGATTCTGTTTCTGCGGCTTTTTTCCAACATCTGAAGATGAAATGAATAGGAACACATTTTTGCATGGATGCGCCATGATGGCTTTGAAGCATCTCAAATCTTCCAGTTGAATGAACGCGTCACATGGGATGAAAAAGTGCACATTTATACGATAAATCATTATTTTCACATGGTGTAGCATCAGTAGTGCATCACCTAATGTGAGTCTGACGTCAATAACCCTTCCAATGCTACACGTAGCACCTTAAAACCACCTATCTGTGTTTGTTGAGAGCTGCTGAATGTTGGATATAACACATCCACCTCTCTGTCTCCTGTTCTCCTCTTCCTCTCGCTCTCTCTCCTTCCTGTTGGTCTCCCAGCAGCAGGCACAACGGCCAGCTCCAACGCCGGTGCCATGAACTCTCTGACCTCTCTGGGTACCCTGCAGGGCCTGGCAGGCGCGACTGTTGGCCTGAACAACATTAATGCACTAGCAGGTAGCATCAACAGTGAGTATTCACCCTGCCATCAGCCACTCCACCCCAACCTTCAGCCATCCACACCGACGGCAACGCCACCGCTGAGCAGAGAGACGGGGTTTGACTCATACCTCTACTTAACGAATATCTTATAAACATGACAAATCTGGTTATATTTATGTACAAAATATGCTCAAGAGTTTGAGCTAGCATCATATTCGAACCAAGTAGTTCTTGCATGTGTCCCGCTCTGGTTCTTCCTGCTGTCTCTCTGTGTCTCTGGTTTATTAAAACCTTTTTCCAGCCAAAGCTTCCTCCTTTTAGCCACAGACATCCCACCCATTATCCCATCCACCCATTCCTCCATCGCTCCATCTGCTTCCTGGTTGTGACCCGGGTTGTGCTTGCTGTAAGCGTGCTGAACCAGCTGCTGCTGAGTGGGACAGTCTGCCACAAGGTGGCGCTGTGTCGTTTTGCTGTTGTGTTTGCTGTTATTTCTGGGTTTTAAACTGATTTGCTAATCAGAGCTGCTAATTTTAGCTGTTTTCAGTCTGTAAAAAAACATTTTTTACGATAAATTTGCATACTTATAATTTTTTTGTGCAGAATATCTAAAAAAGATATTTTTCACGTGTTAATGCATTTCATGGTACATTTGATGTCTGAAATATTAAGATAGGCCGTAATAAGCGTGTCTAGATCGAGCTTCTGGTACTCGTAGTCACTGCATGTCAGTAGTCAGATCTGTTAGCGATTTCACGTCAAAAACCACAAAATAAACTAATTCAAAGCATCATGCCAAACTGTTGAAGTAAATATTTTTTCCATTTAACATTCATGCTTCAGTGCGATTTAAAAATGAGTAAATTACCTCCAAAATAAATCAGCTATTTTGATATTAGTATCAGAAATTTTCTACAAAAACATGGACATTTCTGAGCTCAAAGTCAAAAATTTGCCAGAAAAAAATCATAAATTTTGAGACTAATTCATAGTTGGAGTATCGTGGCACAGCTTTGACTGCCTGTTTTTTAATGACTCATCATGTGAGCAAAGTTATTCACACATGATTTTAATTTCATTTCTTATTTAATGGAGACACTGCCACTGCAAAGTGCTGGGTTTTTTACATTTGTGACAAAGTTTTACAAACCTGCAGTGTTGCCTTGATTCTTTCATGCATGCTGTGCAAACACCTGGGTGGACCTAGCTCCGCCTCCGTCACCCAGCTCCTTCATAGTAGCCAGCAGCAATTAGCAAGCAGCTGGTGGAACTGCTGAGCTCGTTACAGGAGCTGCAGCTCAGAGCAACCCTGGTAAAAACGTAGTTAAAGGGTTAATGGAGGAGCCATGTTGGATGAGCTTCAGAAAGAGCAGGAGTTCTCTTAAAGAGACAGAGGCCCAATTTTAAGGCGTTGAATCAGGAAAATGGCCCCTTTAACAAACCAGGAGTCAGAATGTGAGCCTAAAGTTGTAATGAAGGAAACATCAGAGTAGTGTTTTGCTTTTTGGGTGTTTTCGGGACATCAGATGCAGTTAAATCTGGAGAAGGTAGATGTTTCCCTGCAGGAGTCCGGCGGTATGTATCGAGCTCTTCGCGGCTCTTCGTGTCTCCTGCCTTCGACCTCTGAGCAGACGCGGCGTCTGGATCTTAATCAGAGCTGTTATGACAGCAGAGATCCCGTACTGCCGGCCTCTTCCACCACATTATTCTCCTCTGACCTTTCCCGCTCCTCGGCTGGAGTAGCTGTATCCGCTCTGTAAATCATACTGCAGCACACACACACGCACACGCCTGTCCTTTTAACCGAATGGGTCGCTTCCATTTTGCTTCCCATTTTGTCCCCGCTAACCCAGTCTCTCCTTTCGGTGCCCCTTTCCTCTTCCATCCACCCACCGCCACCAACTGCCCTCATTTAAACACATCTAGACCTTAATTGAATTGCAAAGGTCACCGGTGCAATTATTCCTGAATAAATGAGTGACCTATAATCCGGAGCGCTGCGGCGATAATTTATTTCACTGTGTCTGACGGCGAGGCGACAGGATGCCGGGCCGGTGTCAGACCTCCTCAGACAAGTTGCCCTCCGCCGTGATATTAAGCCGTTACAAGCAGCTAATGAGTGTTACCGCTGCGTTCGCTCACTTTTAAACTCGCGCCGCACTCCCTTCAACCCGCAAGTGAGACGTCACAGGCTGGGAAAGCAGATAATCGTCCCTTCAGCCCCCAGTTTCCTGAGCATCAGCAAACATGGCTGCCGAACAGATGGGGACAGTCTGGCTGTTTGACTTTTAATCAATGTTCAGGACATTTTTTTATTTATAAAGAAAAATAAAAGTATTTAGAAATACAGGATTGCTATGAGTGAACTTTAGTCTTTTTATGGGCATACAATAATTATGAAATGATGACATGGACCTTCTTCCGTACTTTTGGACAGTTTAAAAATAAAGAAATTACATGCAAAAAAAAAACATTTATTTTGAGTAACATTGAAAGCTATTTCAGAGTCAAAGATATTTCTTGGAAAAATTGTTAATTAAATAAGTAAGCCTTAATCTTCTTATGGATGTTTAATGATTAATAAATTACATGATTTCTGTACTTCTGGCCAACATAAAACAAAATTACATGAAAAAATATTTATGTTGAATATTGTTGAACAATATTTTATGTTGTATTAAGTCCACAACATTTATACTAAGATTAAATAGTAAACTTTAGTCTTTTTATGGATACATAATAACACTTAAATGATGACATGAATGTTCTTCTGTACTTTTGGACAGTTTAAAACAAAATTATAAGTAAAAAGCACTGAAAGCTGTTTCAATGTACAGTAAATATTGTAGTATTAGTGATTAGTAATTTAAATTAGATTTTATTCAAAGGTCATTTTATATTTTTAGAAAGAAAAATAAAACTCCCCCTAAAGAATAATCGTTTCAAGCTACAATAAAAAAAAATTAAGTAACAATTTATCATTTAAAAATAAAAATATTTATGTGTTCATTTGTTTATGAATGTTTGTCTTATATGGATGTGTAGAATTAGTTAAGTGTTAGATATGATCTGTTTCAGATTCTGTAGTTCTGTCAGACATTTTCATCAACGTTTGGTTTTGTGCCGTAGTTTTTTGTGGCGCTGATGTCGCGCCGTGGTTTGCTGCATGCTGCAGCTCTGGCCGTCATCAGCTGCTCTCATCCTTATTCTGCTGTTTGAAACTTAAACTCTGTGCGTCTCGTCTTCGGTGTGTTTGGTATCGATGTGTCTTCACTGTGTGTGTTTTACGGTACCGTTTGTGACTGTCGGTGTGTGTTTGTGTGTGTATGTGTGGATAAAACACAACCTTCAGTGGGAGCGCTAATGAGTAAGTGCATTCTCCTTTCTTTATTGTTGGGTTTTATGTAAAGTTGCTCAAATGCTCTCAGGTATGGCGGCTCTAAACGGAGGCCTGGGCGGCGCAGGGCTCACCAACGGCACAGCAGGCACCATGGACGCGCTGACGCAGGCCTACTCAGGGATCCAGCAGTACGCCGCCGCAGCGCTGCCCACCCTCTACAGCCAGTCCCTGCTGCAGCAGCAGGGGGCCGCCGGCAGCCAGAAGGAGGGTCAGTAGTCTGGGTTTTCCACACTGGAACACAACTTCAGTCTGGGATCCCTGAGAAGTAGATTAAGAATCTTTAATTTGCTTTCTCTGAGTTTAAGATGCTGAATCTAGCCTCTGCTGCCCCTAGTGGTGAACAAGGTGAACTACTGCATGTAAATGGTCGTTTATTTGCCTGGACTTGAGCTCAGAGTGCCAGCATAGCTTACCAAAGGATTGCTTTAAGAGGCTTATATGGAAAGAGAACTACTCATGGGCCCCTTCCATGTTGTTAATATCTGGAAAGTTTGTGCCCAAAGCTGGAGGCCAGAAACGATTCTCTTCCAGCCGCGGCAGAAACCATGTTGGGATTATTAATTTAGTGCAGCAAATGGAAAATAACACAGAAAAACTGTTGAAGAACAAAAACCCATTTTTTCACTGTGTCGGCTACGCTACACGCAAACCCGTTGCCATAGCAACTGTTGCCATCGATCAGAAAAGCTCCTTTCTGTGTCAGGAGTAAAAACACAAATAAAAACAATAAATATAGAAAACATTGAGTTTTCTGTGGTAAAAGTAGCTTTAAGCAAAATACTGATAAGCAACCTTCATTCATTTGGTTCATACACTGAAGAAGATAAAGAAGATTATTAAATTAATAATGCTATGATCAAGAAAACAATTTATTTTCTGTTTACAACAACAAATGGACACATTTTCATCTAAATCTGGTATCTATCTGTTTTTGAGGATTTTCTTCTGTTTTTGTGTCAGAAAAGTTTGTTTTAAAATTACCGGTGGTTTAAAAATGAAGGAAATGCTGTTTGTGGTTTATTCAGGTTTCATCTGCTCCGATGTGCTAAACTTTGCTTGAGGCTATTTGGATTTAAATTTATTTGACAAAGTTTTAGCTCCTTTCCAAGCAAAAGTAACAAGCTAAGAAAAATCTTACTTTGACAATTATTATTACAGTGACAGTTTTTGGTTCAAAACATATCAAATGTGATTTTCTGCCAAGATTTCATGACTAGATTTCTGGATAAAACATATTTTCATTGCAACCAGTTAATATCTTTTCCAGTTGCTTCAAATTGCCATTTTGTGGTATAAATTTTTAATTACATCTTTAAAGTTGGAGAAGAAAACATCTCAAATTGTGCTTCTACGATGTGCCACCTGTAAATACAACCTGGCAGCTGGAATTACATTTACCCAAAAGCCTTTGACAACAGACCTGAATACGAATCAGATGATGAAATGTCTCGTAAAAACAAACACCAGCCTGGATGCCGTTTGTTGTGCCCCGCTCTTCTTTCAGCATGAGAACTGTAAAGAAGCTGTCTGTATTTACCTGGAGTTCAAAACCCTTCAGGGAAACAAAGACATGGCGGCTTCATTTAGCCGTGGAGAGCGAACGAAATGCTTCTGAGAGATCTGACCTACTACAATTATTAGGCTGGCATCGATAAGAGGCTTGGGGAACCCCTGACCCCTCTTAAGAGAGACAACATGCAGCTGAAAGAATGAATTAAAAGCCCCATGCTTTGTTTGGAGCAAGCCAAAATACAATTATTAAAAAATGAAAAGCTTTCAACATTTCTGGGTTTTGTTTGGAAGCAGCGGTAAACCCAAGGCCAGCACACATTGTGCCAAGCGTTGAGCTACGTTCCTACAACAACAGCAGGTTTCCACTGAGCTCGATGTGAACAGCATGACCCCATCCTGACCTTTGCTGTCGCGCCTTCCTTCCCTCCAGGGCCTGAAGGTGCCAACCTCTTCATCTACCACCTGCCCCAGGAGTTCGGAGACCAGGACTTACTGCAGATGTTCATGCCTTTCGGAAACGTGGTCTCCGCCAAAGTCTTCATCGACAAACAGACAAACCTTAGCAAGTGCTTTGGTACATTTACTTGTTCTTCTGTTGTCTTTATAGGCTGGCAGCTAATCGTACTGATCAGAGATTATAATAGAAAAATATTTAAACAAAATAAGGAACATTTAAATGTTAATTAACCCTAAACAATGCTTCACACGGAAAAAACACGTTTATTAGATAAGGAGTGTTGAATATTGATTTTTAGTAGCATTGGCTATGGCTAGCCAAATAAATCAATTACTGAGGAACAAAAACAACTATTATTAAAAATCAATGTTTTGTTTACGCTTTCTGCAACAGAAATGCTAGACATAAGATAGCATGTCTTGAAATGCTAGTGTACATTTCTAGAAGCTAACTGTGTGCTAACTGTTAGCTAGCACACAGTCTCAGCAGTGTATCATTGTATATTGACAAAATAAGCAACATTTAAATGCTAATACCAAATAATGCGGCACACAGAAACACGTTTGTAATCATAATAAATGTGATTTAATTGCAGCAGTAGTCAACAGACATGTCATTTTTGTTCAACCTTTCTAAAGTGTAACAGAAATGCTAGCTAGCTAAGCTACCAGTTAGCTATCACACAGTGTAGACTTAGCTATCCAAGCTAGCAATGCTAGCAAGTCAGTCTAACTCATTTCAGAGCTTTTTGTTTTTAAGGGACTACATAGTGTAGCGTAGATTTTGATTTGGAAAGTCAAAAGTTTCTCACTATTTTCTGAAATGGTGAGAAGAGTACGTAACGGCTAGCGATAGCTGAAGTGAAAAACTGTTTTATCAATTTATTCAGTCATAAATTAAACTTTTGTTTCAATAATGTTGACCAAAACTGCTAATAGTAGTTAGCTAACAAAACAACTAGCGAATTCATTTTGAACATTTCAAAGTAAGCTGTTACCTTTGTGCAGATTTATTTAAAAGCTTTATATTTAATCATATCTATGTTTTTAAAGAACTCAGATGAAGAGGAATGTTTGTACAATAGCAGATTATTTCCAGTATAAAATACAATTAGCTTCTATAGAAAACCGTTTTAGTATCAAAACCTTGAATTCTTAGGGATTCTGCACAAATAAAGATGAACATAAAACTTTAAAGATCTTCTTTCAGAGTTTCATTTCATTTTGTTCTTGCAACACGGCAGAAAGAAGTAGAGCATGTAACAAAACGTTCAGTTCTCTGCTTGCCTCAACGCGCCGTCGATCAAATGTCGCCGTTTTTTCCCGCAGGCTTCGTCAGCTACGACAATCCGGTGTCGGCACAGGCAGCCATTCAGGCCATGAACGGCTTCCAGATCGGCATGAAGCGGCTGAAGGTGCAGCTGAAGCGCTCCAAGAACGACAGCAAACCTTACTGATCTTAGCACTAGGTCTGTCCGCTCCCCCAGTTAGCACTGCTAGGGTAAGTCTCCCTCCCCCCATTTAAAAAAGAGCAAAAGTGATGGTTAAAAAAGTTTATTGAAAATAAAGCGAGCCATGGCCTCTTGGGGCTGGGGGGGTCGGGGTGAACAGAGGGATTGTGGGAGGTAGGGGGAGATGACCTACAACCACCTGAGGGAGACGCACTTTTCTTTCTTGGTTATTTTTGAAGATTTCTATGTAAGCCTTCAACTATTATTATTTATTACAGCTTTTGACACACATGAACACTTCCATTTCTGCCATTACTTTGTGCAATCTATTTTTCTTTCTCTATACAATGGAAGAAAGTTGTTTTTTTAAAGAATAGTTTCTTTAACCTTTAATTTTATTCTTTTGCATTGATTATTTATACACTTTTAGAGACTAGTTTGAGTGGAAAGTCCAGACAAAGGAGCCATGGTACCATTATTTTCTTCTTTAGTTTTCTGTTTCGAACTCGAAGGCTGTGATGGGTTCGTTTTTCAAAATTTGCTCTTTTTTTAACCCGCTCGCCAATATGCACATTCGCCCTTTGACCTCCACGGTGTTGGTTGCAGGCCGCCGCTGCTTCTCAGAAAAACCCCTTGATGCCTGCTGGCAACCCGGGAGCAAAGGCTGCAAAACATTCGTGGCCTCTTAACTGTAAAGTTACACTCTACCACCACAAGAAGACAAAAAAACACACAAAATCCAGCTAAACATTATCATTTATGTACAAATACAGTTTTTCTTATTTCACAGAAGTTTAAAAAAAATTGTTCTTACTTTTCTGGGTCGGATCACATTGGTCTTTTATGTGAAAAGATTATAACAGCATGTAGATTTGAAAAAAATAAACTAAATCCAGAATTTGTGGAAGGAAATAATAGTACTACAAAAATAAGTTTATGGGTTAAAGGGGCGGGTATCTGAAAATACTTGAGGTTTGTTGACAGATTAAAAAAAATAATTCAAAGTACAGTAAAGCCACAGGTCTGTAAATTTTATTTGTAAAAAAGCAGTTCTATTTTTATACAACATTTTTACTGCCTCAGATGAAGAAAAAATGATTTTATTTATTGCCTATCGTTAAGTTATTGGACTCCGATAAAGTAAACAGCATCGCTCAACTCGACCCTGTGGAGAAACCTGCTGGAGTTCCCCGGTGTTTTTCCTTTTTTAAATCCTTTCACGCCAGTGTTTGTTTTTGTTTTTGTTAATTTTTTGTGCAGAAACATGGTGACAGAATCCATCAGCCCTCCCAACCCGCCTGTCTCTGTGACCGTCATCCATCTTTACGTTTCACAGCGCGTTCTTCTCCATTTGTCCTCTTCGGTTTCGTTAGGGTTGTTTTAAACGTTTAATTTTTACGTGTTTTTGTCTGTCTGTCTGTCTGTCCCCCCTCCCGTCTGTAAAATTTAAAATAGATTTTTAAACCAGACGGAAATTGATAAAAAATAAAATCTCGCTCCCCAAACACCACCATCCATCTGGGACGTGATGGATACGGCTTTGGGTGTGAATGTGCGTCGTTGCTCGTAAATATAGATCTATAACATTAATGTCAGTTTTCTAGTATGTAAAGAAATGTAAAATTAATGCTAAACCTGCTTATGAAACCAGTGTGTTGTGTTGCTGTTTACCGGTTTGTTTGTTGTTTGTTTTCATTTGGTTGTTTTGGAAGATGATGCTGTTGTGGTGTGCTGCTCTGGCTCTCTGTGTGTAACTCTCTCCTCTCCCGTTTTTTCTTTCCCCCTTTTAGAACAACCCATCTCCATGCCTGTTAGTTCATCGTTTGCCTAGCATGTCTTCGTGGCGTCCAAAAAAAACAAACAAAAAAAACTTTAAACAAAAAACAAACAAAAAAAGTGTCCTCTTCCTCCTCCCCGTCATTGTTTCTCTGATGTCTTTTCCGAGCTCACCTGATCATAACCTGGTTCTCCTCCACCGCTGCCTACTGATCTTTTCAGCTTTTAGCTTTTTGGACTTTTAAATATCAGTTTTATGTTTTGGTTTTGTGTTTCTTTTTCTTCTTTTTCTTGCATGTGACCTCATTTGTATTTTAGGGAGGCGTGGGTAAGAAAATAAATTAATGTGAAAAAGATACAGCTGCATTCATATGAAATTTAACTAAAAAGACTGAGATTTTTATTGAACCAATTTTCTTTTTGAGGTAAAAAATGACAACCTGTGGTTAAAAAAGTGATTTCCATTCTTTATGTGATTTTTTTCTTTCCTTCTTTCATTTTAACGTAAACTTGAAAGTTCACTACAGGAATTGGCTCTTCATCTTGCTTCTGGTCGCAGACGGAAAACACAAAAACACAAAGCGGCACCAGAAGCAGTTGGTGCCAGTTTCTCTGAGAAATAAGACTACTTCCACACAGTTTTAATAAAAACTGTCTGATCAATATTAGACTCTCTCAGAGCTCTCTAATGGTTTTTACATTTTTCAGGCAGTGTAAAGTTTTTTGATAAGGCCATTTTAAGTGGCTCTGTTTCTCATTCAAAGTCTATATATAGAACCACTTTTTCTAGAGTAGTTTAAAGGTAAAAAATAAAAAAGGACATTTGCCCTGTTTGGGGGGGAGAAATGCTACCTACTTGTGTCACCTTTTGCTGAACTGACTCACAGATAGACAATCCGTGGTTTTAAATGCACATGATGAAATTACCTATATTTTCTACTGTTTAAATGTATAGAGGAAAAAACTACGATACCTGTAACCCACGTTAACGTCGGTGCTTCTTGTGAGTTTAGTTGTGGTTTCATCACAAGTCTAACGGTCTTAAATGTCTCATGTTTTCTCAAGAGAAGACAAAAAAAATCAGTTTACTTGAACAATAGACAAAGCCTTTCATATTACTATAATAGTTAATTTGTTTTTTTATTTTATTTTTAAGGAGTCCCTATTTGCTAAATCTCTTGTTGGTTAATTAGCTATATAAAATTCCTAAAAATATATATAAATATAAATATATCTATAAATATATATATAAAATGTCAGCTCGTGAAGCATCAATGTCATTATTATTTTATTTCTCTCGTGGGAAACAATATTTAGATGTGTTTCGTTGTTCAGCAAAATGTCTTATAAGGAAAAAAAGACAAGATCAGTGGAGTTTAGTGCCAAATCCTGGAGGTACTTCCTGCCTAGCGCGTCAGTGTATTTCTTGTGAAATAATTTGATAACATGGGTATTTTATTATAAGTGTTTTGTATGGATCCCTCATATTTAAAGTATAGATTTAAAAAAAGAGTTTGTTAACTTGCTATTCTGTGGGCTTGTTGCCTGACTATGTCATGTTTGCTTTTTTCTTTGTAAAGATGTAAAAAGTGCCCATGTGTCATATAAATATATATATAAATATATCTATACACACATATGCACACATGGACACACAGACACTCTCGTGCAGACCTCACAGTTTACTTTTTAAATGTGCATGAGAGCCCCTGAGCGTGAAATCCTCTTCAGCAACCGCTGCTACCCAACACACACACACACACACACACTCATCACTTTAATATTTTTAGCCACTGTACCGCTGTTTGAGTCATGAAAGCCTTACCACGAATCTTTGCACTCCTGTTCTCTCTGTTTTTATTAGTCTCTCGCGCTCAGACGCAAACGTCAGGCTTCGCCGTTCTTTCTCTCCTGACTCCATCCCAGCTGAAAGTATTAAAGCGAGAGTCATACGCGAAGCCTTATTTCTCTAAATCCCCGTCTTATCTCTTATTTTTAAGTTCAAAAACCTTTCAGAGTTGTTTGTATCTGATGGCGAGAATCGTTACTGTTTATCACCTCCGAGGAGCGAACGCTTTCATGATGTAAGCACAGGGCAAGACTCATTCATTCAGCCTCAATGTGTTTAGGAAAAAGCACACGTCGCCGTCCGTCCGGCGGGAGGAGGCGGGACGCTCCGGATCTGCTGCTGAACTCTTATTTAGTTTTTGTCTCGTCGTGTAATGGGCCAAAATCATGTATAGATGCCAAAGTGTGTTATTGACATTCACATAGTCGAGCCGTTTACATGGCACAGTGTTGTCAGTCTATTCAACTGCCCCTCCCTGAAAGCCTCGTTTACGGTCTGCAAAAAAGACAAAAAAAAGGCAGCATTATTTTCTACAGAAGCTCACCAGTCGCCTTAACCAGGGAGAGTCGCACCAGTGTTATAAAGGTAGAGGATGTTGTGCCAAGTCCAGGTTCAGTTCTGTGTGCCGTTAACGCCCCATCTGTTGGGTTTCCTCCATTTCGTCCGCCAAGACGGGAAGGGACGCCGCGCGCTCTTCTCCGGATTGTTGTCTCCCAGGCTAAGCGAGGTTATTAGAAACAGGAGGAGCATCTTATTGGAACGGCGACGGGGGAAATAAAGAGCTTGTTGGCTTAAGAGGAAGAGGTCACGTCTGCAGGTCCACGCAGGGAAAAACAGCCGAGATGAAGGCAGCGCCGCTTTCATTAGATGCTCAACACCAAACCGAAGTGTTATTTCTCTGATTGTGGAACTTTAATGCTGCATAAGTCAAAGTGGAGAAAGAAACAGCCATAACTACACGTTTCACAGCCGGAAAATTAAAGAACCTACAGAGGAACATTTGTGTGCAGTGGACCTGAAAAGTTTACACACCTGTTAAAACGCATCTTTCTCCCGATTATTTATCGGCTTAGACGCATCGGACCTTTAGGCCTAGAACACAGGTCGTCCGATATCTCGGAAAAACTAATACAGTTTTATGTTTGGCCTTTAATCCACCTAAAAATTATTATTTATGGAAACTCCAACCAAAGTGTAAGAAAACAGTTTGTCGTCTTAAATCTAAAACTGGGTTTTAGATTTCCCCGATTTATCCACACACTTTCTTTGACACGATTCCCAATCAACGTCGTCTTTATATTCTACTTTAGTCATTAAAAGTAATTCAATCTGTCCATACAAGTGAACTTCCTGCCGCCATATTTAATCTGTAACAGGAAGTCGTCTTTGTTTCGAAGGATTTTGATTGGCTGACATAGGTTCTAGCTTTGCGCTACACTGCCCCCTATGGGTTTGGTATGTTTAAAACATTCATGAGAACGATATTTTTTAAAACAAAGTGGTGGATATATTTGTTTATGGTACATCTGGCAGCAATCTCCTGCGTCATTTATTTATTTATGGTACGAAAAGTCAGGATAAGCTTCGACAAATTTAGCAACAATGCCTTGGAGGCTCCAAAACAAATGCAAAATTATTTGTTTTGGTTTGAAAAAATCATAAGTTGAACTGAAAAACAGCGTCATGGTTTCAAGTTGGGGGTTTTCAGCTCATGGTGGATGGCCAAGGAATCATGACCCGACCCAAATCAGCATCAAACCTTCAGCATTGTTGGAGACAAACAACTTTAGCTTTTAGCAGGACGACACTTTCCAGGCGTCCAAATCAACAAAATAATGAGGAAACGACATACCAGCTAAAGATTAGCAGCTAAAGATTAGCTTGTATCACATCAATAGTCGTCGATCCGAACAACAATATCCCTCAGTGCTGAGGCATCTTCTCCTGCTTTGGCTGAGCAAAGAAGGAGGGACGACCGCTCCAAGATGGCCGCCGTATTTCCTGCGCCGGAGCAGCCAATGTGGCGTCTACTCTTATATTATGCTATGCTGAGAGCAACTTCCTTCTTCACCAGATGGAAACAGAATTATGTCAGAATTATAATTTCGACTTCCTGCTCATTCGAACTCCAGTTTGAACAAAAGAAAAGTGGGCTAATATTTCCGGGTCACGAGTTTTACGTTGCACGTTAATCAGAAAAACCTTCCATTTAACGTGGTGTGTAAACTTTTTATATCCTCTGTACAACTCCATATTTCACACTCTCACTTCTCTCTTGCACAGTATGTTTTAATTTAAACACAGATGCTAGATGTTAAAGACCTGTAAAAGTCCAAAAACGATATTTTTTGCGCTGCCAAATTGCACCAACTTGCACACAGCCCGCCCGACGCGGCGCAGCGTTAGCTTGAAGCATCTCGCCTTTGGAAGCACAAGAAGCCGAGTTTCTGTGGAGCGGCTCACCTCAGGGGCTGTCATCGCCAACGCTCGTTGTAATCTTTCTATCTCGTCACTGTTCACTTCTCTGTTCTCCTTCTTTCTTAATTATCTTAAGTGCTATTTATCAAATACTGAAATCTGAAAGGACAAAAAAAATCTAACTTGTTGTTTCTTTGCATTATGGCTTATGTCAAGTTTTTTGAGGAGAAAAATGTTTTGTGTGTTCTCTTTCCGTGGCGTAAAAACAGAGCTTGTTGTCTGTAAAGAAAAAAAACTACAAAAATTCACCAAAAAAATCTGATTTTTGTTGTTGCTGTTGTTGCTTTTGTTAATTTTGACTCAAAATGGTTTTCAGTAGTTTCAGAGTTATTGTCTTGAGAGAAGCCAAAGTCAATGCATTCAGTGGATCCTGTAAGCGTGATGTATGTTTGTTTGACAACACTTGGAAATCTGTCACTGGATGGGATTTAAAAAGTACAAAAAATGCAGGCTTTCCTATTTCTACAACTGATTGTACTTATGCATTTTGTACCAGTGGAATTTTTTATACTGGAGATTAAAGGATACAACAAAAAAATCTTAGAAAAACGCTGTCTGGCCTGGTGATGTGGCCTGACCCGACTGGTCCCCGAGTATGATTTCTAGCTGGCATCAAGAACGTTGGCTTTTGATATAAGATTTTCTAAAAGATCTTTGGCTTTATTTCTTTCACTTCTTTTTCCTCACTTTAATGTTTTTTTCTTTTCCAAAAAAGGAGGGTAGGTGAGTGTCAGACTTTTCATTTTACTTAGTAGTTCTAGCAAGTTTGTCTATACAACAGCGGTAAGTTTCATTTGACTTCTGTATTGTGTCGTCTACACGATAAGACAATTATAGAAAAAGAAAGAATAGAAGTATTTAGTCACCTTCAGTGGATTAATGTATTAGTTTAATAAAGAGATCAACTAATTAGAAACTTTTTGCTTTTAGCTGTTTAGAGTTTTTCCGGTTTCTCTGTCCTTCTCTGTGAACTAACTGTGTAGCTGAAGCAGTCAGAATTATTTTTGTAAACGTATGTTCTTGTGTGATGCAGTTTTTTGCTTCTGTCTCCTATATTAAACCATTTTTCCTAATACTTGTCTCTCTCTGTGTTGTTATGTTCCAGTGGCCGTCTGATGTTGTACCGTTTCATCCTCCGTTTCTTTCTCTCTCTTCCTTCCTCTCGCTCATTCTGTCGTTCCTCCCACCTGTTTTCTGTGTTTTCTGTTTGGACCACATAGTAAAGTTGACTCCATCCTCACTGACAACTCACTATGCTGTTCTCACTAAACATAGTAAATATACATCGACCCGTTTGCATGTATATTACTGTGTAGCCCAAGCTGCTGCGTGACAGTCAGAAGAAACATTTCCTCATGTCCTTATTGTATCGGTAATCTAGATGGAACAAAACTTAGGATGGGCGTAGAAAGCGACTCATTTTCTCAGCATTTTGGGAAATACACTTTAAATCATTATCAACTTTAGCATATTTCCTATCATTAAAATCTGTTAAAACTCTGAAACGCACACAGTAAGTGGAAGAACTGTTGATTTTGAACTGAACTGCTAACTGCTGCTAGCACCAGACATGCTAGCATTAGCTGAAACATTTTAGTGGGAGTCCGTCTTACACTGAGATGATTAAAACCAGTACAACCAGTAATGTCTGTGGTTTCAAAAACATTGTCATATTGCTCTGCATTTGACAAAAAACTTTATTCATTTTTTTATTTATCCAAGTAGCTAGCACACTAACTATGTAGCTAAAGTAGCTACACCAATTTTAAAAAATGAAAAGATTAGTAGCTAATTGATTCAAGTTCTTTGCTAAATTTCTGCAAGTGAAATTAAGTACGTCTTGGTTTTTATTTGTGATATTTATTTATTTATTTTTTGTATTTTACTGCCTATTCTATTCTAGTTTATTTTATCATTTGTCTGCCTGTGATGTAATTACTGTGAAGCTCTTTGGTCAGATGAGGTTGTTGAAAATGTGCTACATAAAGAAACTTTGACTTGACTAGCATGCTAATGTTAGCCATCAGTACGTTAGAATCACAAATTACGTCACAAGTTTAGAAAGAGCAGTTTCAAAGTTTGATTTGAATCCAAGCTTTCTTATTAGTAAATATATTCCAGTAAAGCAGCTAACATGATGACTGCTAAAATGTTAGCTAGCAGGGGCTAGTTCCAACTCCCAGCTGAGGTTTGCTTATAATTACAGAAATTCACTGTTTTAAAGCCACAAATTCTGCATTTGACGGAAAAAACAATATTCTGTTTACCTTTAAAAAGATTTTCAAGATGCTAACAATAGCTAGCATGCTAACATTAGCTGAAGCTTCTGCATAAACCACAACGATGTAACAACCAGCAATTTATCCACTGTAGTCAGAATATCTTAAAGCCTAATTTTACAAAAACTTTAAAACATGTATTTATATGGTTAAATCCACCATTTTACACACAGTCAGATTTTTTTGTAGATTAGAAAAGATTTAATGTGAATGTTTAAGCTAAACAGACTGACTTGTTTTTTTCTTAGTTTAGTTTTATTTCGAGTTGTGAAACAAGAAGTTCAGTGATCCAGTTTGTCTGAATACATTGATTTTTACTTGAAATAACTAGTATAAGAAATCTAATAAAATATGGTTCAAGAAAATTTAAGCAAGACTTGGATAAATGAATAAAAAATATAATCTTGTAAATAATAGACGTAGTTTCCATATTCGTCCCTCTCTACGGTGCTGCAGCTCTGCAGCCAGATAAACAATAGAAAAAGATCATTTTCCCCATTATTTTTATTTGTTTAAAACCTATGGGAAGTGAAATTAATAAATCAATTTGCTTTGTACATCTTTAAATAAACATTTATTATTAGATTTCTGCCTGTTATGTTTTAGATAAACTAGTGTATTTCCCAAAGTTTTGAAATATACCTTAAAATAGTGAGTTTTAATCTTCCTGCGTCCATCACATCGATCTGCTCTGCATCGGATCATTGGTTATCGATAAAAGGAGAGGGTGTAAATACTTCTGTCCTCTTTCCTGTGCTGTCCGCTGTCCTGGGCGAGACCTGTCCACTGTCTGTCCAATCTGTGTCCAACCCACTCCGTGCTGTCTCACCGTCACAACTGCATCCCCAGTAGAGAAGGAAGAGGAAAGAGAAGTCAAAGGTCAAGGGTTTTCACCTTTCACTCGCAGAAACTGAACAGCTGTTTGCCGAAACAAAACGTCTTCCAACCTGAGAAGACCTGTCTGCTTTAGAAACAAAACCAGAAGTTTAAAGTGGTTTTAGATTCTGTCTTCATAACAGACACACACATACAGGCAGAGTAGTTTCTCATCACTGCACCGTCCGCCTGCTGTGTTATTAAATATTGATTCTGCATTTCATTTTTAGCTGTGGATCCAACCTTTGGGCAGATACAGGCCTTTAATACGAGACAATATCTGCAGACAAAAATGTCCAATTTTTCTTCTTTATTCAAGTCGAACTTTAAAATGAGTCTAGATGGGAATGTTTTACATCGCTGGGCGTCAGGATGCCGAGTTTCTGCTGCTTTCAGGATCCATGAGGCTTCAGGTAGGTTCAACACCACCATCACAAATATCAGCCATATTATAAATGCATTTAAATCCTAATATCAGTTTGACTTATTTGAATAAAAAAAGTATTTTAAAATACAGGCAGTATATTTTAGAGCGTTTGTGTCAAACTCGTTTTCATTAAGATCCTGAATGCTCTTAAAGGGCCGGTAGCACTCTTTAACAAACTGTTAAAATATTAAAAAGTGGCCATCTCAGCATTCAATAAGTTCTTATTAATATTAAACTATATTGAACATTTGTTCACATCCATCCAGGATTTTACGATTACTTTGATTTTATTTTTATTTTTTATTTTTGCAATCAAAATCACAGAGTGGAGCTAATTTAGAAATATTTGAAAGAAATGTAATTTTTACACTTATGTCTGATTATTAAATTTGACTTTTTGACGATAACTTAAAAAGAAATACTGCCACCTACAGGTGGGAGTTGGTATCGCTTAATCTAATGTTTTTCACATTTTCTGCAGAAAATTTGTAACAAATCCTCAAAATTTATTGAATTGATTATGTGTGATGTAATTTTTATCGTCTGTAGCCCAAAGGACCATATAAAAAGCTACGGCAGGCCAGATTTTTTCCACAAACCTCGAGTTTGACACATTTTAGAGGGATTTTTTTATGACAGACCAACAAACTTAAAACAAATTAACTTTTAAAAATTAGTGTTTCAAAGAAAAACAGAGAAAACTCAGACCTTTCTCTTCATTTTACTTTTATTTATGTTGGTCTGTCACCTAAAAAACTAAAAGTTTGTTGTAATTTAATAAAACATGAATTAAATTAAAGGTTGGTGGATATATTCGCAGCTTTTGCACATCAAATCAAAGTTTTGTGACTGAATGTTTTCGGCGGTCGCCACCTTTCCTCCCTCTGAAGCCGCCATCATAAAGCCTCACGCCGCCTTCACTGAATAATTCTCACAATGAACGCACGAATATTTACAGAGCTGATGCTCCGAACAAAAAGAAACTGTTTGCAAATGAAAACACAGTTCAGCCGGGTCGATTTTCTGCAGGTGAATGGAAATGGAATAATGCAAATTCATCAAAGGAGGAAATAATTCACCAACTGGAAGAGGAAAATAATTTAAAAAAGTGTTGGGTTGTGAGCTAATGGAGGTTAAGAGCCAGCAGAGGAAACCGGCAGCAGGTCCAATTATTTCCACACAAAAACGGTTCTGAAGCAACATCTGAGCCCAAATCTGTTCATTCAGAAAGAAAATGTGCAAATTAATGTAAACATGAAATAAAATACTGAAACAGAGGACAAAAACATTTAGGTGGAAGTTTATAGCTACAAAACGAAACAAGAAAATAATGGAGTTTGTTTGAATCATGTTAACAGTTACAGAATGACTCAGGCACAATAATATGTAGCAGCAATTCAGAATAAATATCATCTTAAACTGCTTTATAAAACAAATACGTCTGATTTCTGCACAGAAGTAGATCAGATACGTCTGAAAACATCAACACTATAATTACTATCCAGATATTGATAAAAATAGCATCAATTTCTATCAGGTAATCAGTAAAACTTGATTTCACCTAATAAATTACTAAATCTAAATCGTTTTGGTGCTTAGAAAATATTGATCAGTTTTTGCTATAAATTGATTTGTATTAATAGT